CTCGAACTCACAGAGATCCACCTGGCTGTGCCTCCCGAGTGCTGGGATGAAAGGCGTGCACCACCGCCGCCGGCTTAGATAAAATTTAAATGGGAAAGGAAAGCACACAGGGAGTCTGGTGGGTGTATCTGTGACCAGTAAACTCCTCCCGATACCCAGGCTGATGGCTCAGTGCCTGTCCTTTCTTGCTAATGCTAAGGACGCCTTCGAAACTCCCTTGAGCCTGCTGTTTCTCTAAAGACTGGCCAGATTGCTGCAACTGTGCACTGGAGGTCCATCCCAAAGGACACAGTGCTCACATCTCTGCTACTGCTGCTGCTCCCTTGCCACCGGCAAACACTCTGACACACTTTGTCCCCGTCACTTTTAATATAGTGAGTCACCACCATAACTGACCTGGGCCAGGACAGCTCTAAGTGACAGAGCTGAGGTTGGAACCTTGGTGGTCTGGTTTGTGTGGTGCGACTCCTAACCCTTTATTGAGTACTGCTTCTGGCAGTGTCCCGTGTCCGAACCAACTGTACCTAGCGGATGTTTTCACTGCACTGTCAGACCACAGTTAAAGAAAAGGTCTGGCCTGTTGGGAGCCTGGCCTTGTCAGGACACCTCTGCATGTGCCCGGATGTCTACTGTGGAGGAGTTCCTCAACTGGATCCCTGCCAAACTCCCCTGGAAGGATTCCACCCAAGTGGAGGGCAGAGATGGAGGCACTTTCTGCACATGCGCACCTGTACGTGCAATGCACACACCCGTCTTACGCAGAAGCAAGAACGGCATTCTTCAGCACTTGGACTGCAGAAGCAAGAAGCCTGTCCCCTGTGTGTCTTGGATCCTGTGTGTCATACATAGCATGTGTTAGCAGAGAAGGCTGCAGCTGTGTGCGGGGGCCCTGACGTCCTTGTCTTTTCTCTTCACTAGACCTTAAAAGTGAGGGGAGTGGACCGCACTCCCTACCTAGGGGACGTCGCCGTTGTTGTCCACCCTGGGAAAAAAGAGATGGGAACGCCCCTGGCAGACACTCCCACGCGGCCGGTCACCCGGCATGGGGGCATGCGGGACCTTCATGAATCCAGCTTCAGCCTTTCTGGTAAGGGTGAGGGTGTGGCGGGAGCTGGCAGGCAGGAGGGAGGCCCGGGCAGTGGGCTGCAGGCTGTAGGTCCTTCGTAGAGCCATGAGGACATGCAGTGTGTGCTTTTAGAGACATAGGCTGATGGCTGGGAGGACCGGGAGAGCATACCAGCTGCTAGATAGGCCACGGGCCGCCAGATGCTCTCTCTGGCGCTGTTTTCATCCCTTGGGACACCTTGAAGACATTGCATACAGGGTACCCCAGAAACATCCAGACTAGCCAGTGGCCTCTCCTGCCCCAGTCCAAGAGCTGTGACTGGCCAGTGGCTCCTTCTGACACAGTAGACCTCAACTTGTCTGTCATCTCTCTCCCAGCCCCAAGTCTTAATCTGTTGGAAATGGGGAGCACTGAATAATACCCTACTGTGATCTCTGGGACACTAGACCCTTCCTTCTGAGCCTTAGAATTCCAGAGGGTGGGACCTTTGGAGTGTGGGTATTTCATTTTCCAAACTAGTTACCAGTTTCCTGTTTTCGTCTCTGGCCTACTCACTGAGACCTGTGTGCGAAGGTCTGTGTGGTAACTGGCTAAGCCCCTGGTCTAACAGCACAAGTATGCCGTTCATGCGAGTGAGTGGGGATTGCTCAGAAAGTAGGCTCTGAGTCAGGAAAACCCGGGTTCAAACCCAGGCTCCTCAAACCCCTTAGACTGGAAAACGTGGAAATTATATGATACCCCCGAGCCCTAGTTTTCTCATCCAGACACTGGAATAGAGTCCGCAGGGTTAGATGACTGATAACTGGGACCAGGGGATCGGCTCAGTCAGTAAAGCACTTGTCTTGCAAACACAAGGACCTGAGTTCAATTCCAAGAAGCCATGTTGAAAAAGCTAGGCATGGGGCTGGAGGGCCGGCTCTGCAGTTAAGAGCGTGTACTGCTCATCCAGAGGACTTGTGTTCAGTTCCCAGTTTCCCAGCACTCACTGCCCGCTGTCCAGCAGCCCACAGCCCCTAATTCCAGCGCCAGGAGAATCCAGCACCTCCTCGGGCACACGCACAGCTCCAGGCCCGTCTTAAAAATAGGTGGACAGCCTTCTCTTACGGGAGGGATGGGAGAGGTCTGAGCCTCAGTGGAGACAGGGGGCCTTGTTAACCCAGGCAGCATCTGCGAGGTTGACCTTTCCGGCTTCCTTCCTGCAGGTTCTCAGATTGATGACCACGTTCCAAAGCGGGCCTCAGCCCGGATCCTCGCGCCCCCTGGAGGCAGGTCGAGCGGTATTTGGTAAAGGCTCTGACCAGCTCCCCCAAGTGAGGCTGTTCCACCCCACCTGCGCATCTTCCGGCCACGGCTGCCGTGGGTGGGAGAGGCTGGGCAGGGCAGCGCACTACCAGTGGGGGCTCCAGGAAGCGGAGAGCCCTCCCCTTGTCTGAACACGATCCACGGGGCTTTGACCCGCCCCTAACGAGGCACTTTGAGCTGTTCCCTCCTGCTCTGCTCCTTCCTTCCTCGGCCCCCCGGGGTGTCTCTGGGCCCCAGAGACCACACTATGCACCGCACCCGATGCGTAGCGCCTGGCCCCGCCCCACCTCTCTCCACAACCTCCCGTGCTGGCTCTGGGAAGGCCCGGACTTTAGTGCCCTGCCCTGCTGCCCACCGAGACAGGTGTCCAGAGCACTTTAGCAGATGTGTTTTTATAAGTAAGGGCCTTCCCCCACTCACCCCTTAGGTCCCATGGTGACATTTCCCAAGCCAGACAGGTGTTAGCTCCCCAGCCATGCCCAAGATGTCCCATCTCTCCCGACTCACCCCTAGCCCTGTGTGAGTTCGGTCGGGACACCCTGGATGTGGCTGTGGTTGGGACACCCTGTGCCCTTTGCTAGCCTCTTTTCCACTCCCTACCCGCACCCTCTGGGAGTCTCGGGCCCCAGAAGGGTAGCTGGGTGGGCTTGGGGCTGGTGCCAGGCGCGTGTAAATGGTTTTGTTTTGCACGTTTGGTTTGCGCAGTGGTTTGGTTTGACTTGTTTGTGCACCCTGTGGAAAATAACGGTGCTTTGTGTCACTAGCATATAGCATAGAATCGGGAATAGATTTGGTTCTTAGGAGATGCTGCACTCACCACCAACCAGACAGTACAGGGCAGCGGTGGGGACAGGCTGTGCCCCTGGCCCCGTCCCTCCAATCCAGGGTCCTTTCTGCTACCTACCAGAAGCCCTGGACCATGCCTCCCCTGTCCCCACACCCCTGCCTCTTGCCACCCTCTCCTCCTTTTCCTCCATTCAGATGGTCCTGGATGCTGACCCTGGGGACCTTCAGGCAGCAGGGTGGCCCCTCTCTCGTCTCTGCTCCTGATCACTCCCAGCACTAACCCCACACCCCTACCCTCATACCCCTACACAGCTTCCCATAACTTGCCCCTGCTGGTCAAGGCCTAGCTACTCCTCCTGTGTGACTAGCAAGAGGCCCCGTACCTGCTGAGAGAGGGGGAGTAGGAGAGGGTTGGCCAGCCGGCCACCAGGGAAGGGGCTTCATCACACGAGGTCTAGCTGGAGAATCCACCCCACTGCACGAGTGCTGGAGGATCCTGCAGGATCCTGCACTCAACACCAGGCTCTTGTCCACTACTGGTTAGGCCCGCCCTGTCTCAGAAGCTCCTCAGAGGCTCTCATAGGCGGCCACACAGTCAGAGAAGCGGCCCAGCTGTTGGCCTTTGATAAGCCTCATTCCCCCCTTGGGAAGTGGTCTCCCTTTGTGTTTGAGCTCCCCAAACTTGCCAGAGGCCCCCAGAGATCTCGGCACCCATCCCTGCACATTTTGTGGTACTTTGGGCGTATCAAAGCACTTCCGTGTATCAGCTCTCACGCCTCCTGATGGTGGATTGCCTACCACTCTCCCCCAGCGTACAGACAAAAAAAAAAAAAAAGGCCCAGAGGCCCCAAAAGTTAAGGCCAGCTGGCCCCAGAAGTGTCCACGACTGCCCTTATGACCTTGGCTGTCTAACCTAGCTGTGGAAAACAGCTGTCAGGCCCACCAGGAGTTTAACCGGAGAGAATGCTTTCTCCCTGGGGATGCATTCTGCCTTGCTTTGCACAAGTCGATTTTATCTTTATTGTGAGCAGACTAATGTATGCCCTTGGGTTGAGCCTGGACGAGAAGTGTTGGGAACTGGTGTGTGGCTTCAGTCGCATCCTCATCCTCATTGACCTCACTTAGGAGCTGAAATGATAACCCCGAGAACTGAGGTAGCCATTGGAACAGTAGGTAATGACCCCGGAAAAGCCTTCATGGGTAACAAAAACAGAGATACTGGTCCCTGGTACAGTCTTAGCCTCTCTCCTCCTCCTCTTCTTCTTTTTGAGACAAAGTCTTACCTATGTAGCCTGGCCTTGAACCCACAACAATCCTGCCTTGGTTTCCCAAGTCCTGGAATTACCTAGCGATGCGTCATCTTTGTCTGTTTCTGCCCTTGCTTGGTCATGGGCCTTGGGCAGATGCCAAAGATCCGTGGGGTGGTAGGGCCAGCGAGGCAGGGCACCTTGGTTGGGCCAGGAAAGCTTTACCAGAGTGCCTCCACCCGAGACGTGCGTGACGTGGGGTGGTGGGAGAGTACACGTTCAAGTGGCTGCTGTGGACCCTTCCACTTCATCGCCCCCCCCCCCCAGACCCAAGTCCACCCTTCCATAGACTGTGTGCTCACCCAGGAGCTTCTGGATGTGAATCAGGAGGCTCTAGGAGCTGAATAAACCATCACCCCCCCCCCCCCAGTGTCCACTCCCTGCCCCGTGCAGAGCTCCAGCCAACCCCATCACAGATCCGGGGGCTGCTGGCTGGAAGGAAAGGGGCCTCTGGTTGCACCGAATGCAGCTCTCAAACTGGTCTTGTACTTGCTGAATAAATACTGTTGTTCTTGCCTTAGCTGCTCTCTAGGTTTGTGGGGTTAACTCACCAGAAAATTGTGCTACTGTGTGTGTGTGCGCGCGTGTGCGTGGGCGTGTGTGTCGTGCTAGGAGTCCACAGTAGGTCTCTTGTCAAGCCAATGCCATGATGAGGGCATCTCCTTATATTGACCACCCCGAAGCCAAACCCCCTCCAGCTGCTGAGGTGGTGGGCACAGCCTGGGGTCAGAACGGAGCTGTCAGCGGCACCCCAGCACCCAAGGGACTTCCTCCCTCCTCTGTCAATGTCATGGTGCTAAGACCGTGTCCATCCCAAGATGACACATGGGCCTGTGCTTTGGCCACGGTTTGAGGCAAAAAAAACCAAACAGCTTAACACATTGTGTTCTGGTGCAGGTTTGTATTAAACTGTAGCTACTTCTCACTCGGCCTCTGTTGTGTTTGTTCAAGACGCAGCCTGGCAGAAAAGCCTCCTCTCCAGCGGCTGTGTGGCGCTTCCGTTGCTAGGCGAACAGCTTTGATCCATCACTCTGATCCGGTGGCAGCTCACCGGGAGGTCTGGGCAAGGTCTGGAGATATAAAAATAAAAAGTTTAAAAATAAGCAATTGATTTAAGGGTCCTCCCTCTCCCAAGAGCCCAGAATTTCTCATGGTGGAAAAGCAAACATTCAGCCAGATTTCCTGGGACGGTTGGCATGTTATCTGAAGTAGGAAGGGAAAAAATTGAGGAGACATTAGAAACGAAAAGAAGGATCTAGAACTCCCCCACCTAACCTCGGGCACTTCTTTTCCTGGCTACCATTTTGGAAGCCTCCAGCCTTCATTCCATTCATCAGAAGCTGACGGACTGTATCCTCATAAAGACATGACGGGGTCATCCCCAGGCCCCAGTGTGTCTTTGAAGGGTTTTTACCTGCTCACTAGCTTTCTAGAACCCCACCTTTGAGTCTGGCCGCTGGGCCCTCAAAACCCCTTGGATGTTGGGAGGGATTATCCCATTAAACTCACACTGAAGTGAACGAGGTACGAGCTATAGTCATAGCATTTGGACGGTTTCAGCAGGTGGATCATGAGTATAAGGCCAGCCTGGGTCACACATAAGCAGACCTTATCTCTAAGAGTAAGCGTAACGTTCATTTTAGTACTGTGGGGTACCTTGTGCTGATTTCTTAACCCCCAAAGACAACTCTAATGAGGAAATAATTCTAGATAGTGGAGGAAGTCTGCACTGCACTCTGGGAGCTTGGTCAGTTCTACCTAACTGTCCCCAAACTATAGCAAATAGAAGGGTTGCGGGGAAAGACACAACTTTTAGTCCCAGCACTCGGGAGGCAAAGGCAGGCAGAGCAACAGAGCGAGACCCTGTTTCAACAAACAAAAAGAAAAGGCACCCTCACGTGTTATAGGCCGTTTGTAAGGCATGAGGCAGTGTACAGACACACACTTGGGAAGACCCCGGGTACCTCAATATGTGTACAGTCGAAAAGGGACCACAGGTTTGGACTTGAAAATTGGGATCAGACAGGAGGATCTACAGTCTGGAGAGACTCCATCCAGTCAGCACTATGCAGCCATTAGCCGTGATCTCTTAACTTGGAATTACAGGTTATGGGAATACAGGCACAAGTGACCTTAAGAACTGTGGGAGGGGCTTATGGAAACCCTGGGTTTGAAGAAGAAACGCTATGATACTAGAAAGGGTAGACATTATTGTCCTAAATGATAAAAAAGACTTTTGTTTTATTTCCTTTTTTTTTTTTTTTTTTTTTTTTTTTTGAGACAGCATCTCACTATGTAGCCCAGGCAGGCCTGGAACCATGTAGAACAGGCTGGCTTTGAACCCACAGGGATTAAAGGTACGCACCACTACACCTGATAATGAGAAACTTTCACACAACATTGCCAACAAGCAACACATTGAACTTAAAACATTTAAAAGTTTAAAGTTTGCTTAAAAAATACCTTGCTCTTCTCAGTGTCTACTGAGTGACATCCGCATCCTGTATGAGCATTGTTTCCTGGCTAGTCACATGGATGCTTTTGAAAATTGCATCCTTGAAGTGCAAATTTTTCACTTTTTTTTTATTAGAAGGAAACTATCCTTTTGAGACTGGGATTTCTGTGCATCGTTTCTCATTGGACAGACTGACAACATGGTTATAGACATTAAGTCCCTCTGAGAGAAAACTCCCTGTAAATCCAAGGTCACCAAACTGAAAACTGACGCATGCTTTGGTGACATCGGCTGGCCAGTGCCTCTTGAGTTGCTGGAATTCTTCATTGTAAACTGGCCAGAGTTTGGCGGGATTGGTGACCCTGGAGTTCCTTCCTTAATCAGCGCCCAGCAGCACCGGCCATGCCACATTCCAAGGCACCTGAGGGGTTAACTTCACTAACAGACTTCTCAATAAAGGCTTTGACCTTTCATCCCTGAGGGAACCGAAGCTACTGGATACAGCTCCCAAGAGGACCAGGTGTGTTTTGAGTCCCAAGGACAAGATCTTTCCGTGGCAAGGCCTTGCGTACCTGCTCTTGTGGCAGGGGGTCATCTGAAAGAATTCCCGGTGGGCCAGAAGAGGAACTTCAGGCCTGTCGTGGGTATCTTAAGAGGAGTTGCTATGTGGGGACTGCTGTTCGGATGTTCAACCGGTCTCCATGAGTAAACCATCTGCGACGTGGCCTAGGGATGTCTTTCCTCAGAACACTTTGTAATGCCTCCTTGATGCCTGGACTGTGGTTGTGAAACTCCCAGGAATTGGTACCAGAGGCAATAAAGAATGCTGCCTTCCATTTGTGATTCTGTTCTTCAGATACAACACGTTCATCTGGCCGCATGGTCCTGAGAACTGGTATCCCAGTTCTGTTCATTAAGCAAAGCCAATACTTGGTCCTGGATTACTTGGTGTGAGCAAAGTGGGGTTCCCGTCTATACCCTTGGACTGAAGTTGCTCATCCAGCCCGGTGGCTCTCAGCCAGGGTCGGTTTTGTCCTCCAGGAGATAAGAACAGGGAATATTTGGACGTCCTTTCGGCTGTCATGACTTAGGGGAGTAGGGCTACTGGAATCCTGTGGATACCGCTCCAGGACACTGCTGCGCATCCTACTCGGGGGGTACTCAGGGCAGCCACCACATAAGGAATTGTTCAACTGAATTGTCAACAGCACTAAGCTGGAGAAACTCTGGTCTAGTTTAATGATGAAATGAGATCATTGCTTTAGAAAACTGTACGAGGAAATTTAAGGAGGAGGGAGGCAGACGTAAGTTAATGACACAACCCTGTCTGTATGCAAGACATTCTGGACAAAAAAAAAAAAAACCCACCATGAACAGAGCTGGACCACAGCATCCCAGCTGCAGTCAGAGGTGGGACCCCAGGGAGTCCTACCATGTTCTTTCCCATGGTTTTACCGGTCAGTCCTCTGCCACCAAGATCAGGAACCATGTTGTACAAGGTCCTGCTTGACAGCTGCACAGTGCTACAGGAAACAGAAGGCTGCACGTGTGGATCTGAGTGAGGTTCTAAAGGCGGAGAGAGGGGACATAGCAGTGGCAGCCTGATCGTTGTCACATCTCAATTGCTCAACCATGACATCTATAGACTTTCTTTTATACCTGGTGTAAACTAAGCCCCTCTCCAGGAAACATCTTGTGGTCCATAGGGGAAAGGGCCCTTCTGAAACTCAAGGAAGGGTGCTTGGGAGAGGGAATTGGGCATTATGGCTAAAGCAAAATTCAAAAAGAGTACGTGGAGCCAGGTGGTGGTGCCGCACGCCTTTAATCCCAGCACTCAGGAGGCAGAGGCAGGTGAATCTCTGTGAGTTCGAGGCCAGCCTGGGCTACAGAGTGAATTCCAGGACAGGCTCCAAATCTACACAGAGAAACCTTGTCTCAAAAAACCAAAAAAAATAAAATAAAATAAAAGAATACATGAAGGGTGACACACTACACACCATGTATCCAGTGGAGTCTGACCTGTTTCCTCGACATCTTTTTCTCAAATGTTTAAGTGTAAGGCAGACAAACAACTTCTAAGATCTAAGTGTCCAGCTTGATAAATCTGGAGAAAAGGAATGTGTAGATGGAGACAGAACGTTGCCAGGACCTGAGAAATCTGCTTTGTGACCATTCCTGTACTATCAGTGCCCCCTCCCCCCATGGATCTGCTTGTGAATCTTTGCTGCCAAATCAGTGTCATCACACACACACACACACACACACACACACACACACACACACACACACACGGATAACTACTTCCCTGGCAAATGAGTGTTAATCTAGTTTTGAACTCTGATTAATGGAATCATGCAATGCATATTCTTTGTCCTGGCTCCGTTTCTCCACGTTAAGTTTTTAAGATGTAAAGGACACATCTTGTTGTCTATTATGTGCAAGATTGTCTAAGATGGAGGGGTCGACTTTGTCAGCAACATGTACACACACCAGAACTTAATGTGGCTCCGTTTCTCCACATTAAGTTTTTTAGATGTGGAGGACACATCTTGTCTATTCTGTGCAAGATTGTTTAAGATGGAGGGGCCAACTTTGGCAGCAATGTGTACACACACTGGAACTTACATACAGGGTGAAAGCATATATGCGCGCACACACACACACACACACACACACACACACACACACACACACGAAGGATATATGCAGAGTGCTTTCCTGTTGGTGTAGGGTGAGACTTGTGCAATCCAAAAGTGAAATTAAGAAAGCAATTCCAGTTATAGTAGCAACAAAAAGAATCAAGGGAGGGCTGGAGAGAAGACTCCGTGGTGCTTGCTTCTCTTGGAAAGGACCCAGATTCAGTTCCCAGCACCCACGTGGCAGCTTGAAACAAACGGTAGCTGCAGTTTAAGGGAATCTGATGCCCTCTTCTGACTGTCTCAGGCTCCTGCACATACATTCACAAACATACACTCAGGCACACAAATGTACACGTAAAGTAATGTTTTTAAAGTTAAAAAGAACAGAGTGTTTAGCAATAAATTTAGCAAGACAAACTCAACAATTGTACTCTGAAAACCATGAAACTGTTGAAAATGTTTTAAAGAGCTAAATACATGAAAAGTCATTCTGTGGTCAGGAAGCAGATGACTTCTTATCATGAAGGTGGTCATATTCTGAAAATGGACCCTCAGATTCTGTATAATCCCCATCAGAACCCAAGCTATAAAAATGGATATCTGTTTTTTAAATTCATTTAAACTGCAAAGGACTTGGAAGAGTAAACTAAGGAAATTCCTAAAAGGAACTGGTGAAATGGTCATTAAACCACTTATGAACATGGAGCCCCCAATGACTAACTGTCTTTCAGAAGCCTTCCCTCTTAAAAATTCCTCCACATCCACCCTGCCACACTGAGGACCGAGCTTCCAACACCACAGCCTTTGGGAGATACACTCAAACCATAGCAAGGACACACCCAAGGTGGCAGGAGAGGAGATATCCTAAACACACACGGTCCCCTTCAGCTATCAGATTATTGAGACAAGGAATGAGCTCTGAGGAATTGACATTTCCCCCGGGAGTCTCATTCTGGGGAAGGAAAAGCCTGAGACCTTGACCTCAGCCAGAGGGGAACTTGTCTCCTGGAAGGAGATTGCACACTATGCAGGACAGACTGAGAGCAAACGGTAGAAATCAGTGACGGGTCAGTGATGGGCAGGACCACATCCTGACCGGAAATGCCCAGTTACGCATACCTTTTGACCTCTGTTTAAACCTCACATCAGTACTCCAAAGATGGAGTCAGGGCACCATTGGTCCTTATTTGTTCTTCCCAGTCTGGACACATTGAATAAATCCTTTTCTACTTGTTACTATTATTCACTTGTTGATTGGTCTGTTGAGGAGGACGGCCCAGCCTTGCTTGTTAGAGTTGCCAGGGTCCAGGCTCTGACCTTAACAACTTCAGTAGCAATATCAAGATATTGCACACACACACACACACACACACACACACACACACACACACAGAGAGAGAGAGAGAGTCTCATTTGACATGTAAATTTTTTTAGATTCCACTGAAATTAAGTATATATATATATGTATGCTTTCCATGTCATATGTACGGATCTGGTACACACACACACACGGGGGTGGGGGGAGGAATCTTACTTCGTGACTTGGAAGGTGTAGAGAACAACAGGAGAAGCCGAGGATTCTGGGAGAGGAAATCCGGTGGTATTCACCTCCATTGGCATGCCTTGGCTGGAGCAGCAGCTGCCAGAAAGGGGAATCGTCCCTTGTCCATCCACTTCCACGCCTAGCTGGACTTCCTTGTCTACCATGGCTTTTCCAGGTTGTGTGGGCTGGACTCCAGCCATAGTACTACCCAGAAAGACCTCCAGATGGCGCTTTAAACTCATCAGTGACCACTCTGGCTTAAGCAACAGGCCATTAGGACGTGAACAGGTAAGGTTAAAGGAAAAACAGCCAGTTTCTAAGTTTGGTCCTGGACCCTCAGAGGGGCTTAAGGTGGTGCCGCCAGCAAATGAATGAGGGACCATAGCAGTTTTTCCCACCTGGACAACTTTTAAGAGAATTGTCTCACTCAGGAGGCAGAGGCTGGCGGATCACTGTGATTTTGAGGCATGACTAATCTATAGAGTGAGTTCCAGGACAGTCAGGGCTACACAGAGAAACTCAGTCTTGAAAAACCACAAAAAGAAAAAAAAAACTTGTCTTTTTCAAAACCAATCTCCAATGAATAAAACAGGACAGCCACTAAAATTTGAACTTCACATAAAAATAAGTATGTCACAAATAGTGCTTGTGACATGCTAAACTACAGAAGAAGAAGAAGAAGAAGAAGAAGAAGAAGAAGAAGAAGAAGAAGAAGAAGAAGAAGAAGAGGAAGAGGAAGAAGAAGAAGAAAGGAAGGAAGGAAGGAAGGAAAAGTCAGAGATTCACATTTAATTAAGGTGTCATATATTCACCTAGCAATTTATGTCTGGCTTACTGAATGTTCCACCTCCCCTTTAATAAGTGCCTATGGATCGTCTACTGGGCCTTCTTTAGATAGTGCAAAAGTAAACCAAGGACAGCTCCTACGTTTAGAAGTGCGTTGGGGACAAGACGGATTGACAAATGGTTGTAGTCAGAAGAAATAGAACACGCACGGGATGGAGGGGAAAGTGTGGGTTCTGGTGCTGGCTGTGAGTTCAGAACCTACTTCTGACGTCCACTAGCCATGTGATCTTAGGCAAGTGATTAACTTCTCCGGGCCTTTGATGCGAAAATGGGAGCGTCACCACTATTGGGAAGTGACGGGGAACGCTGCCACGGCAGAGCCAGAGGAGGTAACCCTGAAACTGGTGTTGAGCAGTGGGTGGGTGTTTACCTGAGGAGAGGGCACCCACAGCTAAAGTCTCAGCCAGGAAACAGCTGTTTGCTCGTGCAACTCCAAGTAGTTATTTTCATATGTGTGGAGCAGCATTGACATGGGAAGGACATAAAAAGGGTGGAGAGTAAATAAAAATGGTTGCTAGGGATTAAATCGTGGGTCTACTGCATGAGGAAGCCTGAACTTTTCTCTTTAAGCAAGTGCTTCCCAAACTCCATCGTTAAAGGGCCCCTAAAGACAGGGGCAGTGTTGTGTGAAGAACATCTTAGCTGGAACCCCAGATCTTCAAAAGTCTTGCGGTTTTGCCTTCTATTCCATGTCATTTCAATGTAAACGATATTATTAGCCAGCAGGTGGTGGTGAACACCTTTAATCCCAGCACTCAGGAGGCAGAGGCAGGTGGATCTCTGTGAGTTCGAGGCCGGCCTGGTCTACAGAGCGAGATCCAGGACAGCCAGAGTTACACAGAGAAACCCTGTCTCAAAAACAAACAAACAAAAGGATATTGTTGTCCTTTCTCTCTAGACAAAACAAAACCCTGGAGAACGGGTATCTCGTCTATAGCTCTTCCACCTGGGGGAATTATATGAATTTCCCAAAAGCCAGTTTGTGAGGGAAAGCCATGGGGATGTAAGCCTAGGGTTATGTGAAAGGCTTTAGCTGCAGAAAGAGCCCTAAGGCAATGGATGGTGTTGAGGGTGGATCAGAACAGGTGTGAAATAATACAGTATCCGAGGTCGGAGATGGCCATGGTGAGAGAGAGAAAGGAGGAAACAGAGAGATGGGTGACATTTCAGAAGTAGAATTGATTATAACACAAAATCATCCTGGGGGTTGGGGAGAAAGGATGGATTAGGATCAGGACCAGGCTTTTTGACACCACCACCAACATTAGGACTATAGAATGGGTATTGGTGGATGGGAGGGGAAATCTACTTAAGCATATTGAGCTTTTGAAGTCAGGGCTGCCTAGAGAGTCTAAGACTCGGGAGAATGGGTAGGATGGAGATGCACAGGTCCAGAGTTCAGAGGAAACGATGAGACCATTCAGGGAACGTGTAGGAAGAGAAGAAAGCTGACAGAATGGTACTCTGGAACAAGGGGAATTATTGTTGGAAGAGGGCAGAGTTTCAGTTTTACAAGATGAAAGGGTCCTTCAGATGAATGGTGGTGATGGGAACCCGGGGGACCACCCAACGTTTGAGGTTACATTATGGGACAAGGTAGAATGGAAAAAGAAATGTCAAAAATGTCATGATAGAGCATCAAACAAACAGGCAATGAAAGAAAACATGAACACATTGCATTTCATGAACATTTTTTAAAAACTGGTGCATAAAAAAAACCAGCATCAACAGAGTGAAAAGGAACCCACAGAATGAGAGAAATTATTTGCAATTTATGTATCTGATAAGAGGTTAATTGCCAGAAAACACTTTGAATACTGAACAAGGGGGGATCACAATTCAAAAATGGGAAAAAGAATTCTAAGAGACATTCCCCCGCCCCCACAAATGTACAAGTAGCCAATAGCATATGAAATAGTCTCCAAGTTAAAGACAAAATCCAATTATAATGAGATTGCAGCTCACAGACATTATGACAGCTACCAAAAACCAGAAACTAGCAATGTTTCCTCTGAAAACGTAAAAACAGAACTACCCTGTGTTTCAACAATTCCACTTCTGAGAATATACCCCCAAATAATTTAAAACAAGGTCTCAAAGAGATGTTTGTATGCCCTGTTTACAGTAGCATATAGTACAATATCCAAAAGGTGGGTACAAGCCAACTGTTCACTGATGGGCAAATGGATAAGTGAAGTGTGATATGAACACACAATGCCACATCATTCAGCCTTTATAAGGAGGGAAGTCAGGTGTGGCACACACCTGTAACCCAGCACTTGGGAGGCAGAGGCAGGAGAATCAAGAGTTCAAGGCCAGCTTCAACTACATAGTGAGTTTAATCTGGCTGCTTAAAACCTTATTTCAAATAAATAAATAAATAGACAAATAGAAGGATGTATCTGTCATATGTTGAGCATCAAGAAAAATTATGTGGGCTGAGATCTCAATCAGGAAAGTGCCTGCCTAGTAAGACAAGAGCCTGAATTCCATACCCAGAACCCACATTAAAACAAAACAACAACAAAAACCCGATGTAGTGGTTCGCGTGTAAACCCCAGTGCTGAGGAGGCAAAGATAAGCGGATCCCTGTGGGTCACTGGCCAGCCAGCCTAGCCTCCGTGTCAAGTTCTAGGCCAGGGAAACACCCTGTCTTTGAAAAATTAAAAAAAATGTCAACCATGCCTAGAGAACAATACCCAAGGTAGTCTTCTAGCCACATGCGCGCTCGCGCACACACACACACACACACACACACACACACACACACACACACACTTCAGTCACTATGAACTAGTAACTACAGTGTACACCTTCACTTTTCTTTCTTTTTGAAATGAGGGTGTCTGTAGCAATAATCCCATGTCTAGACTACGACTGTATGTCGACTATGCAAGAGGCAGGTGGTGAGGTTTTTGACTTCACAGCTTTTCCAACTAATGGATGGACTGGTACCCTGGATTTGTACCCAGGAGACAGGACCAGAGCCATATACACACTGGGACCTGATTCAGATGAGATCTGTCATTGGGCTGATGGAATCAGACTTGAAGGTCTTGAGGGAAGAGATGAATGTGTTTTGTGAACAGATGTCAAGATGTGGCAAATAACATCATCCAAGTTATTGGTCTCAACATAGCTCCCATTCATATATATTTATTGGGCTTCAGTTGATAAAATGCCTGCCACACAAGCATGGGGATCTGGGTTTAATCTCCAATACCCAAGTAAACACTGGGAATGGTGGTATGAGTCTGTAATTCCAGTGCTGGGGGTGGTGGAGACATGGATCCCTGAAGCTCATTGGACAATTAGTTTAGCCAATCCATGAGCTCTAGTGGGGCCAGAGAGAGATCCTGCCTCAAAAAAATAAGAGGCTGGATGTGGTGGTCCAAACCTTTAATCCCAGCACTTGGGAGCAGAGGCATTGTAGATTTCTACATTTGAAGTCAGCCTGATCTACATAATAAGTTCTAGGCTAGTCAGGGCTACATAGTGAGACCCTGTCCCAAATAAGTAGGAAGAAAGGAAGGAAGGAAAGAAGGAAGGAAGGAAGGAGGCAATTAAAGAAGACAACTGATATTGACCTCAGGCTTACACACACACACACACACACACACACACACACACACACACACATACACGCACACGTACATGCTCACACATGCATATACTCACATAAACACATACATACAAAAAAATTATTCCATACTTTTTTTATATGACTTTGACCTTCCTCCCATTGAGACATGGGATCTATGCTCCCCGTCTTGCAAGTGGGTTTTTGGGGTTTTTTGTTCGTTGTTGTTTTGTTTTTTAAGCCAGCAGGATTTTGAAGCTAAGTTATAAAAAGGGATTTAGTTTTTCTGTGCATTGGAACATCTACCTTTGGAACCTTCAACTACCGTGTGAACAGCCCAGTTGCCCTGAAGGTACCAAGTGGTAGGAAAACCAAAAAGCTACCTATGAGACACCATGAAGGCAGGAGATGGTCCAGAAAGTTCCTGATGTTTAAGCCCCAGCTACCATTTGACTACAGTGACACCAGAACCATCCAAACGAGCTCACCCTAAACTCCTCGCCCACAGAAATTAAGATAATGAAATGATTGCTTACACCATAAAAGTTATGGTGATTCACTGTGAGAAAGCAGATAAAAAAAGCAAACCTTCAAATGTTAACACAGAGAGAATCTGGGAGATGGGTTAAGTAAGTGCTTTATAGGTCATGTGTGATGAGGTTACAATCTTTCATCTCAGGATTACTCAGGGGTTGTCTACACCACTCAGGTCTACACCTGCAAAGACAGAGCTGAGCTAGAACTTCATAAGTAAGAAAAGTAAACTGAGCCTGAGATCTGATCTCACCCTTGTTTTCGTAGCATCCAGACACCTCGTAGGTACAGTCAGGACAGAAACCACTTCAGGTTTCCGGTTCTGTGGCCAGGGGCAAATGTAAACTGGTACCTACATTTCTAACTATTTGTCTTGGGAGTTATTTGTCAAACAGAACTTTTTCCT